TCCTAATCATCAGGGAGATGCAAATCAAAACCACACTGAGATACCACCTAACCCCAGTCAGAATGGCAATCATCAACAACTCAAAAAATAACAGCTGCTGGAGAGGGTGTGGTGAAAAGGGAACACTTCTACACTGTTGGTGGGAGTGTAAACTAGTGCAACCTCTGTGGAAAGTAGTGTGGCGATTCTTAAAAGCTCTAAATACCAACCTCCCATATGACCCCGCAATCCCCCTACTGGGAATATATCCTGAAGAACACAAATCACTCTATAAAAAAGATAACTGCACACGCATGTTTATCGCAGCATTGTTCACAAAAGCAAGAACCTGGAAACAGCCATGCTGCCCGTCAAAAGAGGACTGGATTTAAAAAATGTGGTACATGTACACGATGGAATACTACGCAGCCATAAAAAAGAACAAAATCATGAATTTCACAGCAACCTGGATGGAACTAGAGTCTATAATACTGAGTGACCTCTCACAGAAACAAAGATCCGAGTATCACATGTTCTCACTCATATAATGGACCTTAAACATCCAATGCAATACTATACAAAAATGACTGACTGTACTGGAAAACTATGGTGGGGGGAGGGAGATGGGATTAACAGTAGCAAATATCTGTCTGGAAATGGGGAAACACCCCATATCAACAGGGTGCCTGAATGAAACGCAATTGTATACCTAACCCTTAACTGTACCCCACAACTTCACAATAAAAAAAAAAATGTGGGTTGAAGAAGAGGCTTCCATATCTGAAGTCACAGGTTCTTCTTCTCCATCAACAACATGCAGCATTTTACCCTGCCTAGCTCATTCTTCTCCAATGCTGCATCTGGGCCTCCATATTTAGGCCTTCACTGACTCTTGCTTGGACCATAGCAGTAGCCATTACTTTATCCACAGGTCTCTATGTGTGCATAAAGCCAGTAAGTTGCATTTCCTGAAACTCACCTCTATGCCATTTAACATGGCATATCCCTCCTCATTGGACCGGAGATCTTTAACATTTTCCTTTAATCTACAAAATTAAGCACTAATCCCCCACCTTAATCCTCAGATCACTTTACTCAACCTTTCTTACTACATTTTACATCCCTTGGCACACACAAGGTCCCTAACTCCCATCTAATTGCTTTCTCTTTGAGTTATAACATCCACATCATTTCTACCTCTACATATTTTCTATCACTGATCTTTCTCCTTTTCTTGAAATTTCTTTTAGAAAAATGTTATACGGTCTTTCCTCATTTCCCAATACCTGCAGTGTCTTATTACTGTAGATTGGAGGATTAATTGGAGAGGACCAGAATGGGGGAGGGTAGCCCAGTTAGGGACAGTTACAATATATTATGGGAAAGATGGTGGGCAGGAACTATGAGAAAAGAAATGCGGCAGGATTGTTGCTGAAGGGATGGCCAGGGCCACTGGGATCTGTGCAGCTGAGGTTGAGGACTGAAATGATAGTGCTAGAATACCTGACGAGGCCCTGCCTTAAAGACTTTTCTGTAGACACTCAGATGAGGCCACCCCGTGGAAAAGGCCAGGGCTGATCCACATTCCCATTCCTCCAAAACGTCACCCCATTCACCAAAACCAGTGGTGGTACCTCTTCCCCAGTGCCAAGCTCATATTCTCATCTTTGTAATTTTCTTCGAGAAAACACCAGAAGTCAGGTTTTGTACAAAAATATATATATATATTGTTTAATATTACATAATATACATTTCCACAATAATATTTGTAGCAATGCCTTGGAATTTAAAAACAAAAAGTCCTTGCATTAATGATCCTTGCAAAGACCCTCAAAACACCCCAGGTGCAGAATTGGGGTTCACAAAGGAAAAGAAATTTGCCCAAGTCTCCATATCTAAAAAATACTAGTATCACAGAAGATAAAGTTAAAACATCAATAACTTAAATAATATTAACATTACTTAAAGCATCATGTTTTATATTAATCAACAAAATGCATACCCTCTGGAATTATAATACAGAAAAAACAGGGTATCCAGGGGAAGCCAGGGGAAAATAAATTAGCTGCAGATTCTTGGGTTGTGGCATGAGTGTTCAAGGCTTTGGAGTTTGAGTTTTCTTGTCCAGGTGGGCCATGGAATCCTGGACCCACTTCTGATTGGGGTCAGCACAGATCTCCTTGTCTAGTATGGTCTTGAAGCTGTAGGGAGAGAAGACACAGTTAGAGGACATTACTTTACAGTTTCAGCCTAGGACTAAAGCCTCTTTCTCGCCAAGGGCCTGACATGGATGCTAGAGGAGGAAGGCAAGTAGGAGGAGGGAACCCAGGGCAGGCAAGCTACCCCAATTGTTTTCCCAGTTGGGGCCATCTTGACTTCAGGATAAAGAATCTGAGCGGGGAGTCTGAACGAGCATCCTGATGGAACGTGATGTTGGGGGTTCCTTTTTCCTTCTTGACCTCGGGTTTTCAATGGGGAACCTTTGGATATTGAGTTAGATGGGGTAACTCTCTGACTCTCAGTTTACGAGGCTTGTCCCTTGCTCCCTGAGAGAGGACTTTGGACCAGGGAGGGTTGGTGTGGTCAACTCACATCACAGCTTCTTTGGGACACTTGCTGCTGGTGACTCTTCTGTAGCTTGCCAGCCTCTGCACTGAGATCCTCTTATTGGTGAATTTATAGCAGCAGGTGACTGGGGCATTAATTGCATCTGGAAAATAACCACCAAGAAAAAGCATTTTAGGATGAGCTGGATTCTTCTTATTTTAATAAAAGCAGAAAAGAGTCATTGGGAGAAAGCAAAGGAAAGGGAGAAGAGTTAGGACCCATTAAATTCTAAATGCCCTTTCTTCATAGCTAGAATCATCTTTGACACATTGACTCAGTACCTATACTGTAGAATGGGTATACAACATTGATAATGGACAGAGAGAAGTCAAAACTAGATGTCTTCTGGGACTGTCATTAAGAAGAACTAATAATCCAAATGATCAGGGCAGGGAAGTTCAACTGGGGAGCCCAATATGGGTCTCGTTTTAGGTTCCAAGCAATCTATTGTATGGTGATGAGCCTAATACTGGCTGAGTTCCCTAATACTGACTGCCTCTGAAGAACCACTGTCTCTGGAAGCTGGGCTGAATGAAACATAGACCAGATTCCTTGTCTCCAGTGCTTCTGGAAACAACCTGCACACCCACCCCAGGAAGCCCTGTCTTTTTGATCACCCTCTTTCCCAAACTCTACTTGAAGCAGCTGGGCCAGTAGCTACAACTGAGAATGATCCCTGAGCTAGGCTCCTGAAAGAAGCTGGACTCTGCATTCAGAGCTGGAATTCCAGTCCAGGCTCTGCCAGGAGCAGCTGTGTACTCCTTGTCCTTCTCTGAATTGTTTTATCTTAGAAAAACAGCTGTTAAAGCAAGACTCCTGGTTACCTCTTCTGCTGGGACAGTCCATGATAACCCAAAGAGAGGGCGATGAGCCTCCAGGGGAAGAAGGAAGGGGTCTCACCTGGCTGAGCAAGCCCCTGGGGGCTCAAGACAGCTGCTGTGAGCAGCAGGCACAGAAGTGCTGCGGAGACCTTCATGTTGCAGAGCGAGGGGTGAGCTTGAGCTTCAGAGTGAGAGTTAGAAGTGTCTGGGTTGGTCTCAGCTCCTCTGCTCTCTGGTGGCTCTGTCTCTGCCTCTTATAAAGAGTAAAGAGGGTGGAGCCAAGCCGGAGGGCTTGGCTCAGGGCAGAGGCTTGGCTCTGGGCATCCTGAATGAAAGTGAATGACGAAGTGGAATCTTAAACCTGCTGAGCAAGTGCAGACCCTGGGAGGTTTCCAGGAAGTAGGAGGGGGAAGCAGCGAGTCAGGATGGGACAATTTTTCTGTCCGCTGCTGTGAGCAAACAAAGTGGGGGGAGGATCTGGCGCCTTAAGTCCAGACTGACCACAGACATGAACCAGGAGGATTATTCATGAGGATTCCGCTTTCTCTGAAGTGAAAACTCTGCAGAAAAGGAAGGAAATGAGGAAACTGAGGTCACAAGGGAGATGAAAGCATGTCAGACTCACCATCCATGGGCCATCTTCAGGCCATGGTCCAAGGGGTCTCTGAGCCAGGAAGGGGCTCCCCACCAATGCATTCAATCCATTTGCTCACTCACATGCAGGATGGTAGTACAATGGAAGCCTAGCAGAACTATAGGAGTGTGTAAACATTGAACTGAATCTTTTTTTTTTTGAGTTGGAGTCTTACTATGTCGCCCAGACAAGAGTGCAGTGACCGCTCCCGGCCACCGCAGCCTCTACCCGCTGGGCTCCTGCGATCTTTCCGCCTCAACCTTCCAAGTAGCTGGAACTACAGGCACGCACTACCATGCCCGGCTCATTTTTTGATTTATTGTAGAGATG